GAAATATACTCTTTACTGTTTAAAAGTTTATTGTTTGAGAAATCCATAAACGTACAGAAAACATACACACATGCTTCATGCGGAAAATCCCAAATTCACCAAAACATGGTGCTATTTTTTCTGCACAGATAAAATCTTTAAAGAGAAAGACAGACAGACAGACAGAGAGAGCTGGAATATGTGTGTTAATTCTTAAATTATACAAAAATTAAACGAGCTAAATCTCAACGCGATTGTTTTCAGGAGATATGTATATAAATTAATCGTCTTAAATAATAGAATTTTAAATTAAAAAATTAAGAAAATGATTATTAAGATAATTTTTTCGGAATAATTTTAGGTACGATTAAAATTAAAAATTTAATTTAATTTTTAATAACGTTTATCAAAATAGAAAAATAATTACATTTATGTCATTTGTCTATCGTTAATTTTGTAGTATCTGTGGATTACATTAGCTTCGAATTCATGGTTCATGCTCGCGATAAAACTTCCACATTTAGATACGTTCATTATACGTTAGAAATTTTTTTCTAAGGGAAACTATGTCGGTACCGGGGCCTTTTGGTGTATACTAAAAGGCGATCTCGTTACCAAGCTGTATCGTGCAACGTTGAAGAATTCAAAGCGCGCCACGTCACGCCGCTCCGATGTATTCACCGTATCCTCGTCTCGGAAATATCCATCTCCATTTTCTCGAAAATTGGTTCCGCGTGCGCGAACATGGTTCGGATCGCCGCAAAAATAAGTGGGCGCGTGCTCGCAAAAATACCAGAGAGTCGCATCGCATATTCATGGAATAAAACGCGAGAGAAGCGTTGCGTTGCGAAATGGTCGTTGAAAAGAAAGTTGAAAATTGTGCATATTCCATGCTGAGACTAGATTCTCATTCCGGAGATCTGCGACGGAGCGTAGCTTTTGTCGGCACGTCTCTTTCCTATCCAGGCTCGTGTCCTTGAGCAGAGTTCAAGGCTTACGAGCGAGTGTATATTCGCAACTACACGACGATTACAGACACATGTATGAATTGAATTGAGATTTCGGTGAAATTCGCGGTATCTTTCGCGATCTTTATCTTTCAAATGACTGACACGTTATTAAAAATTCACGCGAGTATCTTTTATTTCGTCAGCATCAACAGGATCAAGGATTTCCGAGAAGAATTTCTGCCGGGAATTCAATCGTGAAACTCGGTCAGTTTCATGCGAGATGTGGCGAATTATTCGGACGAAAGGTCAACGCGTGAATTATGCAAGGAAAAGAATCCGTGTCGTCCACATTTTCCTGTGATCTCCAAAGGTCTCCGATCGACGAAGGTTTCAACCGACAAATGGGGAACGAGTAATCATTAATGCCGTCTATCGCTTTTTCTCATATTTCTCTCTAAAAAGATTTTATCGAGCTAACGGAGCTTCGGAAAAAAAAGTAAATCGATCAATCGCGGGAAAGGTATTCTACGTATCGTATTACGGAAAAAAGTCGAGAGATTTTATATCATCACACTTCCATACACGTGTTTCACATGAAATTCAATGCCGATATTTTTCTCCATCGAAAAAGAAGAATATTATTTTTTCTTGCATTTTTAAATATTTCATTCTACAGCTCTGTAGTAAAACTTTAAATTAAAATTCTATTAACCAGTTCACTGGTACACCCGAAATCAACGTTTTGTGCCAAAACTGGTGAGAGCAAATAAATTCATATTTTACATGAAAGTTTATTTCTAAGGGGTTTTTTGCGTCGCTGGTGACGAATCAGGGGTCGAAATTGCAAAATTTAAACTGGCAGATCCAATATGGCGATTTCTATTGATTAACTTTGATATTCCATTATGGAAATATATCACACTCGATACGTTTTTTGGTCGCAGATAACGGATTAATTCAAGGCATTTAAACTTGAACATATCGAATTTGAATCTTCTCTAATGGAATAACAAATATAATAATAGAATAACAAAATTCACCATACTAAATCCGCCATTTTAAATTTTCGATCCCAAATTTGTCATCAGCGACCCGAAAAATGTGGATGTATCAAGTTGCATGCAAATCCGTTGAAAATAACAAAGTTATTCATAGTGGACATATATGGACCATTATCAGTGAACTGATTAAAAAAAATCTGTTCAATATTAAATGAGGAGAATAAATCTTGAGTTATTTATTCGCATATTGCTCCGATTTAAATTAATCAAATATAATTTATTATTTGTTTCGAGATTAAATCTTTGAATTAAACTATAAATTGACAATTTTCACAATTTATAACTTGCCAATTATTCAAATTTATTCAATTATATCATTATCTCAATATTTTTGCTAATAAACTTTTGTTGTGAAACAAAATATAAGGAATTTACAAAAAAGAGCCTTTTATATTTATACGCCTATTTATGATATTGTCGGATTATCGAGATCGGTCTCGAGAAAAGAAGCGTCTCTAAATGGATAGTAGGAGCCATTCGATTGCTCCTGCGTCAGTTCAGATAGTCCCTCTCCTCTCACGGCTTTTCATCGAATCTGCACCTAACCGAACGCCGCATAAGGATTCATGGCGAACCTGCCCATAAATCGAGGATAACGACTGCTCCGTATACGCGTCGCGAATACCACCGCCATTAAATGCCAGGAGAGCGTGCGAGCTAGCTTGTGTTCCGCAATTATTTCGCCGAAGGACGACCGCTTCTGGATTCGCCCGGAGGACCTATGTACGTGATGCAGAGACGCGACCGAGTTCGAAATTCTTTCAAAGGGGAAGAAGAGAGGGGGATATATATATATATATATATATATATATATATATATAGAGAGAGAGAGAGAGAGAGAGAGAAGGATGATATAGTGCAGAGAATATATGCTTCTTGTATACATTACATAATGAAATTCACATCTTGTTAAAAATCACGAGTAAAGAGGCGTCATAAAATAGTTTATTTTTTAACATAAATCTATTCTCGTGATTTTTTTTGTAAATGACTTGATTACACGAATTTATATCTTCTATGTCTTGTATCTTCAGGAATTTATATCTTCAGGTTATGTCTTCATTAAGTTTACTTCGCTGCAGAATTTGATTTACACAGGCAACCAGATAAATGGTTAGTACGGAAGAGATTTATCTCGCTCCTCTTGCAAGACAATTAAATCGATATTAATTTCCTTCATTGTATCAAAATATTTGTGAATAACTTTGATAATTTAGTAAACCATGTATAATCAATGCACCAATTTCGAAAATATATCTTTAAGATACGTTTATATCTTGTCAGTAAAATGAGTCAGCTTTTTACCTTTTTAACGAATTTAGAATATTGAAAAACAGTTACGTTATTTTTGTGCAAATACATTCACTTTGTGCAATTTCAAATACCACGCACTTTAAAACACAAGTTATCTAATCGCACCGTTTTGCAATGTTAAAAGATATATATTATTATCTCGATATTCTTCGTAGAAGCCCGTTTTTCGATTCGTTGCACCGTTTCGTTTCACGTTCGCAAAGTTACTGAGGCAGACGACCGAAAATAGCCGGTGTGTGCTTTTTGGACGATAGATCGAACAAAACGCGATTGGCTAAGATATTCTCCTTTGTCAGAAGTTGCACCACCTGCTGCAACGCAGCACGAGCATACACGTATACCCGCCCTTCTCCCCCTTCCCCGCAACGTAAAGGGATTGATTCTCGCTTTAAATCCCCGGGGCTGTATTTATTTTGTGCCCCATCGAGCGCGCGCACTTAATTCGCAACGCGGCGAGTCTCCATTCGATTACAATTGAAAGTCGATCGAATATCACGCCGGGCGGAAGCAAGCCGATATTCCTTTTCATATACGAGAGCCGGGAGGGAAATACGTGATATAAATTCCACCCTCTTCGACGAGCGAATGAACGCGGGAATAACGCCAGCGGAGAGATCCTGCGGGGGGAGGGGATGAATGCAACCGCGCGACGCGAAATGGGGCTTGTCGTCGTTTATCTTTCGCGGGCCGCGGCCACGCACTCATAAAAAGAACTCCTCGCTCCGCGCGTGCTTTCCCCCCCCGTGAAAGTTTTAATTTTCAACGATGCAACAACGTGCCCGCGTAAATAAAAGCATGACGCGATGCAGGCTTTTCGAGCGTGAAACCCCCCCCCCCCGCCTCGCGGAATAGTTTTCCATTAAACGTCAAACTCGAGGCGGATTCGTGAAGGACGCGCGCTGTCATTGACATTACGTATGTAAGAGAAATATTTGATGAAAAAAATTTTGTTACGTGTGCGAGCGGGAAAATAATACTTGTTGACATCTTGAGTTGTATCAACGATTTAAAATTTAATAAATGTCTTTTATTGTGAGAAAAATTTTGTTTACAAATGAGTTGTAATGATTAATAATTTATATATTCAAAATGTTATCTTGCGAATTAATATTTTAATTGTATATTTACGATAGGAGAATAAAAAATATTTCTTCACCTGATATAAATATAGGGTATTTGAATGTAAAATTTCTCTTTAAAATTTATAAGAAAATCTTATTATTAGGTAAATTTTACATGCATACTTTATTTGTAAATTTATGATAATTGTCTTTCGAATTCTTTGAAATTCCGCTCCAAATTAATTTTCTTGTACATACATGTTTCAAGATTAAATCTTTAATATAATAAAGTATACCGACATGTGAAAATATATTCTGAAAATGTAGCAAACTTCAATGACTTAAAAGTTGCGAAAAAAAAAGTATCGCGTTACAAAACACTTTCCATGTTGTAATCCGTCTCGGTCATGCAATTAACGTAAAGCTAAGCGTTGCGAAAAATGATTCTTACATAACGATATTCACACCAATTCCTAATAAATCGCGTGATCCTTTCGCGTCTCGCGCGTTATGACCTTGCAACTTCGCACGCGCGCCATGTTTTGCACGAGATATGGGAGCTTCGTTTCGGAGGCTTCCTCGGCGCGATTTAATCGGATCGAGCGGGATTAAAGAGTCTCCAAAGCGTACGTTACCTGCTGCGAGGAGCTGCGTTGTCGTCCGACTGCGACGAGCGGCGACGACGTGTAATCCATTTTCATCGACGTAATCACCACGTCACAAAAAAAAAAGAGAAAAAAAACAACCAGCTCTCGCGACCGCGGCACACAATGTATCGTTCGCGAACACTCGGCCCGAACACTCCGCGTAGCCAGGGTCGACCTTGGCGACACTTCGAGGCGACGAGTCTCGTCGAGGATTAAGCCAGGATTGTTAGACGAGTGCGCGCGATCGTCTTAACGAGTAAATACGTCGTTAATCCCGGATACGAATCGCAGACCCACCGCGATCGCACCATTTTGTACAAGACACTCCGCGCAATCGGACCGCTTGAACGCGGCTGGCGACTGCCCACGAACGCCGGCGAACTCGCCCGAAGAGTCACGAGGTGGCGCGAGCGCGCCCGAAGCGCGCGGCGCGCAACGACCCGATCTCGAATAGCTGTAAGCTAAAAATCGCAAGCTTTATCGGAAGTTTCGTTGAACGAGAGGGATCTCTCTTCCCGTTATTTGTTACAATCGACAAGTTTGAATCTTGCCATTGCGCGACTGTATAAAAGTGCGTGTGATTAGACGATTAAGTACAGTAGGCGCCAATAATGCCTTAACATATGAAATTGATCGCATTCGGGATTAATAATGACTAGATATTATTAAGTTATTATTAGTCTCGAATTAGTCCCAATTTTATGTTAAGGCGTTCGTGGCGCCTACTGTACATTAATGGCAATTTCGTTAAGTGTTTTTAAGTGTTAATATTTAATCTACGTTCTACGTTAAGTTTGAGCAGCAATTTCAGTGCGTATTTATCACGTAGTCGTACAGAGAATTACAAGTGATTTCGTTTTGAATTTAAAAAAATAGATTGCTTCGTAATGATTAAATTTCCGGAACAAGACGAGTGTCAGGAATATTTAAACGAACGACGGACATAAAATTTGTCAGTTAGATTATCGAAGTGAGCATTTCTTTTTTGTGTGTTTCTTCTCGTTTGTGTGACTCAAATATTATGTTTGTATGAATCGTTGCCAAGATGAAGAGAGAGAAAAAGTATCTCGTAAGGAATCGTAAGGATTTAGCGATCAGACTGATAAGAGAACAGTGAACAGTGACAGAACAGTGAACTCGCAGAATTCGCACGCAACCATGATTCGATACAGGATGAAAAAGGTAAGATTAGTTATGAGGCGATATTTTTAAATTTATGACTTTTTTTTAAATAAGAAATATTGAATTTCTTTCAAAAGAAATATTAAACTCGCGTCAAAAATAATGTAAATTGCACCAAATGTTTTAGAGATATAAAATCTGACTTGGAAAAAATGTTAAAAATAAGAGATAATTAAAAAGAATTAATATTGCAAGTAATTAACGTTGAACACATTTTTAAGTTCATATAACACGTTTATTAAACGTATGCTGTTGATTAACCTGCATTTTCCGAAATATCCTGTATGCAACTTTGTCTTCAATTTACAAAGATTAAAAATTAACCATAATTCTCATGAAATCGGAGCTGATAAATAATAGAAGAATGAATACGCTTATATCGATTAGACAGATGTTATCTTTATACGATGAGCATACATTATTCCCGCATGCAAAACGTATCGAGCTAGATTCGGAAACAACGGGGGAATCCTCTCTGATTGGCGCATTACTAATTGAATCGTGGCTGGTGGACTACACGCGTTCGATTTTGCGACATCGGATACCACCGTCGAACACCTTGTAACGCTGTAATGCTGTAACCGATATCGCGAGCTTTACGAGCCACGATCGCAACGGGATACGCTCGTTTGCCATAACGTGGGTGGTCAGATAGAGCGGTATCCGCTGTCATGCTTTTCAGGAATTGACATTAACACGCGGGATCTCCCTCGGTAATGGCCACGACAGGCAACGCTCTCTTCGATTAATCGGACATTGTAATCCGGTAATGTCGAGAGTTAATGGATCGAGCGAATCTGGCTCTTTTAAATCACGACATTATTGCCCCAAATGTTAACGTAAACGCATGTCGGCGAGTGTGAAATTTTCAAACCTGCATAGATACGCGCGATGCTGAGGTAATTTGATTAATCTCGAAGAGCGGGACAGAAATTCCGGTTCTCCGGTTTTACCTCAACACCGCGTACGTGGGCGACACTATTTTATAGTCTCATAGTTATCGTACGTCGTTAAGAAAAAAAAAGATTGAAGAGAAAACGAGATATAATGTTACACGTCACGCATTCGCGCTTCTCATTATGCGCGCGCGTGCACGTGTTAGACGTTGCGTGTCGGACCGGCCTTGTCTCAGGCGAGGTCTCGCTCCTTCTCGGGCCCTGCGAGAGGGCCCTCGATGAACCGGTAGTGGCGTACACCCGCCGACCTGCGAATCGGACTGCGGGAACGAGTGGTAAATGACCGGGTCCAACCCTCCGCTCGGATCAAGTTCCGCAGAGGCGATCTCGCGGCGGCTACTTCGTGACTCGGGATGCAGGATTTCCCTCCTCCTCCCCCCTCCTCCCGCACTTCTGCTTATTCGTCCTCGCGTCAGGTACACGACCCAGGTACTAAACCCTCCGGTCGATCCTCGTCCTCGTGTTTCATCGCACGAACGCCGGCCGGCGCGTAAAACCGGTTCCTCGACAACGAACGAGCGCGAGTATCCAGGCGGCCCCGTTTTTGCCGAATTGGCCTTTGAAAGCCCTGGACCCGAATTTCTCGGGATCCAGGGCCCTTAAGAATTTTTGTTTCTCCGACCGGTCGGATTCCGACCGCCCGCGATTCGATCGATCGTGATTCCGGAGCAGGCCAGCGGCGGAGAGCTCTCTGCCGATCTCCTCTCGAGAAGGAGGCGATCCGGTCCGGGTCCATTGTCCGGTCCATCATCCGGTTAGGGAAACGGGGAGGGAAGGACATAGGCGGTACCTGCGGCGATGATCAGATCCGTAGTTCATCGATCCGTAGGCAACATTTTAACGACGGCGTGGTCCGGTTCGATCCTGATGCCTCTCTCTGTTATTTTCCACCGCCGACAGGGAACTTCTCTTTCACGTGCATATCTCGGGAAATGGGATGGTTCGAATTCTTTTTTACGACCGTTCGTCGTCGTTACAAAGTTTTTCTACAAGATTATTTACTGGGATTATTTTTGGACTATGAATTAGATAAAGAAAACATAAGAGATGCGAAATTTAAATAATATACAAATTTAAATTTTATTATTTCTATTATTAAAAACTTATATTAAAATCGATAACTAATCATAAAATCATAGAATCTAGAAAAATAAAAGAAAAGTTTATAAACTTTGGTCTAATTGGTTTAAAATTGTTAAAAATATTAATACTAATTTTCAAAACTAACAATAATATCGCTTCTCCAAGAAAATAACGTAGCACATATAAATGGATAAATGCGAGGAAGCTTCTATCGTTCAATTTCGATGACCAGGATATTCACACAGAGAGAGAAGAAGATAATGCAAAAAGAAGCACAATATATATACGCGATCCGATCTCCGAGTGTCTCCGAGGAACTGTCCGCCTCTCTTTTGGTCCCGCTCAAATCGATCCCTCGAGTGGTAATTCTAGACCCCCGGGTCTCTGGTCAGCGGACCGACAGCGGTCGACATACCTTGTCAAGGTTAACTCACTCGTTCCGTCCTGAAATTCCATCCGCGGAGAAAGACGTGACGCGGATTGCGGAGGCAGAAGGAAAGAGATGGAATCCACGTGTGAGGAAGCAGAAAGAGAACGATTTCTTCTCTTCTTCCTCCTACGTCCTCGTGGAATTCTGGGTTAATGGCACCGCATTACGATCGCGTGACTTTACCATGAGATCCATGCGCGCGATCTGGATCACAGTCGAAGGAGGAGGAGGAGAACGAGGAGGAGGAGGAGGAGGAGGAAGCAAGAGTAATGCGGAGAGATTTGAATCGATCTTGAATATAAAATACCTATGCACGAATACGTGTACGTGACACGGAGAGGATAGAGTTCAATCGATCGAACGATTTGCCAGAGAGGCAATTATGTTTTTCCATGACACGTGTATAGGTATATTCGCGCGTGCGGCACGTGAGCCGTCGACTTTGCACGTAAATTAAGAACAAAGTCACGATTTCTACGTTTGAGAGACGCAACGCGCACATACCGTAGTATCTTCCCAAAATAATTCGGTTCGAATCTATAGATATAGAATCTATAAATATTGCAGCGAATAGATAAACGGAATGTCTTTCATTTCTATCTGCTTCCACTTTATCAAATTAAAACTGATTTTTTCTTATCATGTTTTATCAAATTGCTTACCTTTAATTTTTATTATCTATTATCTACTATAATCGCCTATTAATAATTAAATAAAATAATAATTAAAAAATATAATATAATATATAACATAATATGTAATAATTAATAATAATTTTAAAAAAATGTATAAATAATTTAAAAAACTCTGATAATTCTGAAGCTTATATAAGCAGCATCAATATATAAAAGATTCTAAAAGCATTCATAAAAGATTCTGGATATTCTGTACGCCTTCTTAGCATGAGTCACTACACTCTCACTGTTAAAAGCCGCAGTCGAAGATTTAAATTGAGAAGAAAATAAACCGTCCATTACATCTGTCAAGTGCATTTAGAAACACGTCACTAAATTAAGTTCCTTCGATTGCCATCTTTATCAACGTTAAATCCGATCAGAGAAAGCCGGTTAAAGTCTCGCATGTCGCGAACTTTTATCGAAGGTTCGACGATATGAATGTAATCGCATGTTTAGTAATGTTAGTGTCTGAATACGCGAATGGAAATTCACCAAACGGTCGACAGATCCCTCGCGCGTTAATCAATAGCGATGTGAACATCTACATCGACAATCAGCATCGAGAAGAGACATGGAAAACAAGACGAGACACAGGATCGAGATTCAATGGGAACGAGGTCGACCTGTTAATTATCTATTTTTGCGGAAAGCACGTCGGTGATGTACTCGGATCGTATCGATCGCGCGAGAACATCGCGATCCGAGTTATTCTTATCGCACGCGAGATACGCTCGGAATACATTAAAGCGATTCGTCAGTGATTTCTATATCGAGAACGATTGGAGAATTAAGTTCGCTCTCTGAGGCGGCGTATATCAATTCGTCTTAAATTCATTTAATTTGAATTTCCCGATATGTGGCTAAATGTCGAGACGCTTTTGACACGCGAGATTATACCGATTAATTAATTGAGGAATGCAATTAACCTGCCGTTCTCGTCAAACGATCGCTCATATCTTCTAAAACGAAAATATCGACCATTATTTCTTAATGAATTGTATTTTAACTCTTATACGAGAGATAACGGAATAAGTAAATATCGCATTTAGAGATAATCTAACATGGGCGTTTCGATGAACATATGGGTGTTTCGATAGACGTATATTCCGTTGTGCTCCACATCCGTGCTTACGCAAACCTCGAGATTATTGCCCTCCCATTACAACTTCCTACGTCCCTACAACGAAGGATATTCGAGACACGCTGGGCGCGATCGTGTTTCCCGCACGTGTACGCCATACAACGAGGATATGTCGCTCCATCGCTCGATCTCATGAATTGTCCGATGGGATATATACGTACATCAAAATGACAAGAAAATAAAAACTTACTTTTCTCTAAAAAAATAGCTCCTCTCGAGAATCATTATATTATATTTTAATATATATAAAACATTTCTTACAGTAATTATAATCTCGATTAATAAATCTTGGAGTGAGAATATTAATACTTTCCTTATCATTTATATATATATATATATATATATATATATATATATATATATATTTGACAATCCTTATTTCATATGATATATTCAATGAAATGAAGTGATAATGTACATTAATCATGGACATGTTCTTAAATAAATAAATACTTAATTAATTAGAAACCGATTCTTCTTTAAATTATTTAAATTGTATATTATAAATATAATTTCTTTTCAACGTTACATAAGTTTTTGTGATAAACAAGTTAAAAAAAAAGATTTTATTAAAGTAGATTCCTTCAAGCCAGTTTTATGTAAAAATACATATAGTATAGTACAAATTGATATTCTCCAATGTATGTTTAGTGATATATTACTCGGTGGAGATAACAAATTATCTTTTTCATTTCTGCGAACTGTACAAACAA